CCTTTCCCCCTCTCCTATTTTCTCCCTCCACTCCCTCTGACATGAGCAACTTTCCTTTCCCCCTGTCATAATGAGGGAAGTGCTAACCCACAGTGCAGCCAGATCACAAGTACCCAGCCTGCAACTCTAAAATGTTGAGCTCCACTAGTTTAAATTAGCCTCTTTAGCTTTGAAGCCTTTCTTACATGTTGTAATACAAAGGTACACTTCCCCAACTTACATGACATGCTAGGCAGGCAGCATGCAGTTTCCACAGTTTTCAAAATTTACTCTCTGAAGTAAGATTTTAGCGGCAGGGGAAGTTGTATTAGTTTAATGATTGGAATTCTCCAAGAAACCTAAGGGAACTGGCTACCTAAATCCCACTGACATTCAGTAACACTTGAGTACCACACTCCCTGATTCTTCTTTGGAAATTCCTAGCTGTATTCTTGAACTAAATTGGAATTTGTTTTCTGTCACTATTGTAAGAGGTGAATCCTGAATTCCTGGACACTCTCATCTGCCTTTTCAGACTTCATGAGATGACATAACCTGTTACATCCAACTGCTTTATGGGGAATCAGGCCCTTGACAGATGTGTTTTATAAGGGTGATGCTGAAATCTAGACGTAGACTTCCACTGTAAGACTGAAGTTTTTATTTTTAGAAGAGAAAGCTAAAGCAACCAGGCAGAAGCTGTTTGATTTTGCTTCATATTGGCAGTCAGAAACAATATTGTGGTTGAGCATTTATCCCAGTAGTGTGATGCTGAAGTATGCAGGAAACCCAGAGAAAGGAAGTCTTGCACCCAGGTCTTGCAATGATAAAAGTATTTCAGACCATGTCAGCAGCTTATGAGCATCCAAAGTCCAAATAAAGGCAGCCTACGAAGGTGATTGTTTTCCCTGTGTTGCATCTGAGCTGCCTCAAGGAGAGTCAGATGAGGGGTCTTTGCTCCTGACATGTTAACACTATTTGATGGCTTCTTCATGCGGTGGTTTTACATTCCTGTAGGAACATGCTGTCTTCAGTTAGTAGTATAGAATCTGTGTGACTGTCGTACCTTCCTGCTCTGTAGCAGTCTAAGGAGCTAAATAAAGGTATGCAGGTGCAGTTTGGTAAATGAACAGAGATATCAATGGAATTCCCCAACTGACTTCCAGAAATGTGAAGTCTATGAGCATATTTCCTGGAAAGCCTGACATTTCTCATTTGAATGAATCTGTAGTTCAAGTGACTTTCCCTTCTGAAAATAATTAGTAAATGTCAGGAAGGGGATTTTGGGGGCTGTTTTCTGCCAGATTCTTTACTGCATGCAACAATGAAATAGATTATTTCCCTGCTGTTTTAGACAGCCCTGTAAATGATGGGAGCTGCCATGTGAGGTAAATCTTGTCCTGGGTTTTATAGTCTGGACTTTTTTAATGAATTGGTTTTCTCTTACAGTTCATGATCTACAGAGCTTTGGACTTGATAATGTAAGTACTCCCAGAACATACATATGTGGAAGCTGTCACAGCCCTAGTCAAGCTGCCTTGATTAGATCTCAAGACATTGGAGCTATGGGCTTTTAAGTTTGAGCAGAGTCCAAACTGCCTCTGCCTTATTCTTAAGATGTAGATCTTCTATTTAGCAACTTCTCCTGAAAGCTGAGACCCTGCAGCCCAACTGCTCTAGGCCCTGAAACTGCTTTTGGCTCTCCCAGACTCCCCAGAAACTTAAACCCAACTTTTTTGGATGCTCTAAATCAGTTTGCCTCTCCAAGGAATGAGGTAGTTGAAGTACACTGACTTTGCCAAAAATTCTAAAACCACTCATTACTTTAAAGTATAATACACATATTTAGGGGGAAAATTGTTCTACACTGTTTCTTACCATAATTTCTTCACCACTGCAAGCTATTCTTCTGTATCTGAGTCAGTGTTCTTTCAGAATTCCAATTCCTCTCTCTGAGACCCTGTTCCTCATGACTTCCCTCTGGAACTTGGAGTTCATGTTTGCCTATAACCAGTTGCCTTTGACTTTGGCTGGTCCTTCAGTCAGAAAGCTCCACTCATTCCTAAAGCTTGTGTTTTGTTCCTCTTTCTCCAAATACCTGTGTTTTTCAAAGTGTATTTAGTACTTCATCTCTTTTTTTCTCCTGTTTGAGGATCTTCCATTCTCTTATCACCCTTGCTTACAAATTAACCTGACTGAACTGTTTTTTTCTACCAAAGGTATCCCTCTTAGTGTACCCATTTGTCCAGCTAGACTGTAATTGCTTCTGGTGTTTATTCTGTAGCTTCTGACAGAGTAGGAGCAATGTGACTAAGACTTAGTCATTGATGACTCTGTCTGAGGCATTCCATGTTGCAGAAATGTCATAATAACATTAACCAACATTCATATTATTTTCCAAAATAATACAAGTCCTATTGCCAGCAGGCTGTCCACATTCCCATCTGCTGGAAGTCATTAGTAGGCTTATAGCAAAAATGAGTGGCTCTTATGCTAAACAGGTAGTAGTTTGAGAAGACGCATAGAATTCCACTATGCTGCTAATTACTTCTGAATCGGGCCTTTTGCCTTCCACTGGAAAGGAGATATCAGCACATCAGAGCCTATTTTCATGGGGGTGCTCTTATGCTAAGAGAAGAAGAGGAGGGAATGACAGACTGTACCTAGTAATCTTCATAGGGGGAAGGAGGATGCCCATACTATGGGAATTTCCTGCTGGGGGATAAGAATGAGGGAAAAATTCCTGTAGCTTGCATTCTTCCAGTGTACAAAAGGGTGTTCAGTCTCCCAGTGTACCCCTAAGCTTTGGAATGTCTCATTAGGAGGTGCAGAGGAAGGAAGGAAGTGGTCACACATTACAGGCCCTCTTATCAAAAGGTACAGAAAAGTAACTAATGTTTTGCTAAACCTAGAGGCTTTGCCCTGACTATGGGTGGATGCTGTGTTGTTTGAGTGTGTCCATATTTCCATTTCAGATCAATATGACGCACTATATCAAACATCTCTCATTTGGGAGGGATTATCCAGGCATCATGAACCCTCTAGATGGAACAGATGTCATTGCACAACAAGGTACAGGCCTGACAAGAAAATCTCTTTATAAATTGCTATTTCAGTGTGGTTTTACAAGAGCAATGGCACAATCAAAGCACCTGGGATAGGCTGTAGTGAGGACTCTGAGAATAATGACCACACCTTTCTGCCTGAGTGCATAGGGCACTTGTGTTCTCCCTGATGTTGCTGGCCGTTGTTGATCATATACTTGTAAGAGGGACAGACCTGCATGCATTTTGAACTTCAGTAATCTTTTTTAATTAATCTGTTGGTTAAATGCTAAGACACTTCATAGCAACTCAGAAGAAGACACAAAGCCATCCTTATATAAACCATCAACATAGAGGGTGGAGCTGGAAAAAATATGTCTAGCTATAATGTGTAATATGAAATAACCACAACATGCAGGGATAGGTACAAACAAGGTATAACGTACCTATGCTATAGACCCATTGTGTATGATTGTGGAGAAGCTATGGACAAACAGCTAATAAGAACCTGCCTCTAAATTAAACTATTGCTGATCATTTTTTTAAGATAGCTGGAGAAGACCCATCTCCCTATGCCACCACTATTAAAGCCTTTATAGCTTAGGCAAAAGGTTAGGCCAGGAAGACATTTTCCATGAAAGGTACTGACTGGAACTTGGTTTGGAACAGTCCATTTTGTTACCCTTCTGCATATACTACCATGCTCATTTTTGGGTATCAAGTATTAAATTAATGTATTTTTCCCAATATCTTGCTATTCAACACTGATTTAAATCACAATTAGTGGTGAGATAAGGTGAATCTCTTAATAGAGAGAGACTTGGATATCAGATTATTTTACTCATTTCAGTTTATATTTAATTTTGTTCAGAGGCATCCAAATCAAAGTATTGGTGCTTAACATACAATGCAAATAAATACTTTCCCATTATCATGCTTACAGATTGTGGTCTGTTGTTGTAGGGGGATATTCCATGGACTATTGTCAGAGAGGCCAGAGCTAAACAGAAAATTCCCCTTGTATGCTGAGGGGTGTGGTAGCCGTGTTGGTCTGAGACAAAAAGAAATGCAAAACTCTAGAACTCTTGGTTCAGAGATGGTACCTTTTATTAGACCAACTAAGAAATTGCAAAAAAAAATCTTTTTCTGCAAGCTTTTGGGCATGCATGCCCTTCCTCAGGCTCAAGGAAAATTAAAGATGGTTAAAAAGTCCCCATGGGTAGAAAATAAACTTCATTTTTGCACAGAGGAAGCTGAAGGTGGAAGTCTGTTGCTTATCTGCACATCAAAGAGCAACTCACAAAGACACTCTCATGGACCCAGAGGAACAGACTTCCACCTTAAGCTTCCTCTGTGCAAAAATGAAGTTTATTTTCTACCCATGGGGACTTTTTACCATCTTTAATTTTCCCTGAGCCTGAGGAGGAAGGGCATGCATGCCTGAAAGCTTGCAGAAAAAGATACTTTTTGTGGTTTCTTAGTTGGTCTAATAAAAGTTATCATCTCTGAACCAAGAGTTCTAGAATGTTGCATTCCTTGTAGGCTGAAGTTTTCAATGCTGACTCTTAGAAAGGTGAATGATAAAATGCTAAGGAATCAGGACTATTGGTATCTACTCTACAAAAGATAGGGTTGCATTTCCACCCCCCACCAGTTTTTCTCCCTCTATTGTTAGAGGTAACAGTAAGCTATCTAGGTATTGTTTTTATGCTTTATAACTGAGAATTTCTCCTTCAGTAGGGTCTGGCCCCCTTCAGTAGGGTCTGCAGAAAATTCCAGCCTTCTTTCAAGTGACTGCCATCTCCCATTGTTTTCAAGGGGATTGAAGGAAGAGTCTGCCCTCAGGAGCTATTGTGAACTGAATGTTCCTCTCCATCTCAAAACAGGAAAAGGCCCAGGAAAGTATTTTTGGAATAGCCTAAGGTTTGAATATACACTGATCCATTTATACAGGCCTGCCCCCTTATCTAGATGCTCTTTCTCAGGTGTAAGAGTATATTTTTTCACGTTAGTTTTTGTTTCCTGGGAAGGAGGTACATAAGATTTTTTTTTTAAATTTACTCATATTAAAGTAAATTTGTCCAAATGGGTAGTTTGAATGTTATACTTTTAAGCAGGATGAGCTGGTAAATAATTTCCATTTTAAACCAAGTAATAAATACTGCTGATTTTCTGTCCTTCTTTCATGGGAAGAAATGGGAAGCAGTGGCCATTTTGGAAGCAGGCAACTCAACTGGGCCTAGACAATAACTTCAGTCCTATTAAGAACAATGTAAACGGTTGTCATTTTGCATGAAGGCAATTCCTTAAGTTTTTTTTTGAAGGAGAAAAATCTCATGAGTGTGTGCTGTTAAGCTTTCAAATAGACTGACACGATCATTGCTAGTTATTTACTTTACCTTTCCCTTCTTGCCTGTAGCTTCAATGATGTTTCAGTACTTTGTCAAAGTGGTTCCTACAGTCTATATGAAAGTAGATGGTGAGGTAAGTATTAATTTTTGTTCTCTTACTTTGGCTTTATTTTTTCTTATGAAAACCAAAATTGGTATGATGGTCTACCCTTTGTTCCCCATATGCCTTATGTATATAAGACTATAATTTTTCAACAAGAAGGGCCACTGTGATCACATCTCTAGCCCCTCTCTCTCTCCAGTCTACTGCAGACAAGATTACAGAAAAGAAAGCAGCTTCAATTCTTCAGTTCTTCCTTAGCGCAAGATGGAACAGCAGTGTCCATTTTTCTGTGTGATATAGCTATCTTTCTCATTACCTGTTTAGATCTTTAGCCCTAGTTATTTGTTCTTATTTTTATGGCAAGTATTGTTGTGACTGATATCTTTTATTGGACTAACTGCTGGGTTGGGATAGACTTTGACAAGCTTTTAGGTGTAGTGCGTTCTTTTTGAGGTCTGAAAAAAACCAAGCCCAGCTATGGCTAAAAACAGTCAGCAGAGTTGTGAAATAGGAGAGAGACATTTCCAGCAGTAGCTAAAAGACAAGAAAATTGCAGAGGAAAGAATAGCTAAATTTTAAGTTTTATTTTTTCTTTTTGTTTTATTTGCCCATTTGCTTTAAAAATGTTTTAGTTGTCACAGCCAGCTATTAGAGGCTAAGTAATACTTCAGCAGG